TCGGGGACAGAGAACCACCGTTTGCCAAGGCAACTCCTGACTGCACTGGCAGTGCAGGGAACCCCAGGGGGAGGTGTGTGAAGGCCCAGATAATAACAGGAAGTCCCTGGATGTGCAAACAGTGCAGGCAGCATTCTTCTAGATCATTCTCTACGCTCCCTGGTCACCATCTCCCAGACCTCTTTAACCATGAAGCTTACACAGACCCCTGCATTCCCTAAGCAGCATTCCATTGGGAACCTGGAAAACACTTTTATCTATAACTGGTATAAACGTGGCCAAGCATAAGGGTCAGGTTTTGTTCCTTCAGGATACTTCTTTTCGATAATCATGTAATAAAAAAAGGGGGGGGCACTGCATTTAACCCAACATCAGTGCCGATATATTGAAATAAGCTCCAACACATATATTCCTCCACCCAGTGTGGATATTCTACTGCATACATCTGCTTATCACTTGCAGAGCATCGTCCGTCTGTAGCTCGGGGTAAATGTCAACAGAATTGCAGCAACATTGGCAGTTGGACAGTTGAAACGTGAACCTTGGATGGGACGGATGGACCAGTCACTGCTTCTCAAACAATAAAGTGACGATGGATCGCCTGGGGATGACTTTGCACTGCTGGTTCTTTACTGCGTTGCTAACAAGCTCCCAACTGATGGTACTGATGCTCTGGGTCTGAAGGGCAAGGGTGCAGAAGGTGAATTCCAGGGCAGTGCAGGGCATCTCCCAACCGGTGTGGCTACGTCACGTCAGAAAACGGTTTCCAGGGCTAATGCCCATCGGGTGAGTGATGATTAGTCTTGTTTGCAGAGTTCCAGCTCTAGCTTCATGAAGACTTACCTGGTCTTACATGGGTCGAGTGCCTACCAGACCAACCGGAAATTCTGCTCTTGCCTACTATCGACACTGCATAATCACTGTACCCACTGCAAGAAGTTAAAAGGACTGAAAGCAACCTTTTGCTTCTCAGAGGCTGATTCTGTTTCCTTGTTCCTGTGCTCTGTATTTTCCTTCATGTACTTCCTCCTGACAGTGTCGTCTTCCGTGGATATTCCTGAAGGACATGCCTGAGGCTTCAATTTACCTAAGAAATCTACCTTTACTGCCCCGTTGTGTGGGCAGGTCCCAGTACTGCAAACTCCTCGTTTGGGTTCATTGCCAGACAAGTCTAATCTCTTACATTAAGGCTGGCCTGGAGAGGGGTGGGAACCACGACAGTGAAAGGAGAGAACTGGGTTCAATAAGCAAAACCGTCGCTGATGTTCAGGCCTGGGGAAGATGTTTGAGGATGCTCAGCTCTTTAAAATTTCTCCAAGACAATAAGACTTATGCATAATGATGTAGGAATTCGGGTTTTTATCAAAGCGATAAAAAGCAAATAATCAAAATTCCTACTGATGGGACAGGCAGTTCAACATACATAAGTATACATGTTGGAATATTAGGCAGCCATGAAAAATGATGTCACCTACATTAATTGACATGATAAGATGCTCATGATATAATCTGGAAAGCAAGGCGGGTAACAATAGCATAATCTCATTAAGGTTTTGTGTATGTGTGTGTGTGTGTGTGTGTGTGTNTATATTGAAATAAGCTCCAACACATATATTCCTCCACCCAGTGTGGATATTCTACTGCATACATCTGCTTATCACTTGCAGAGCATCGTCCGTCTGTAGCTCAGGGTAAATGTCAACAGAATTGCAGCAACATTGGCAGTTGGACAGTTGAAACGTGAACCTTGGATGGGACGGATGGACCAGTCACTGCTTCTCAAACAATAAAGTGACGATGGATCGCCTGGGGATGACTTTGCACTGCTGGTTCTTTACTGCGTTGCTAACAAGCTCCCAACTGATGGTACTGATGCTCTGGGTCTGAAGGGCAAGGGTGCAGAAGGTGAATTCCAGGGCAGTGCAGGGCATCTCCCAACCGGTGTGGCTACGTCACGTCAGAAAACGGTTTCCAGGGCTAATGCCCATCGGGTGAGTGATGATTAGTCTTGTTTGCAGAGTTCCAGCTCTAGCTTCATGAAGACTTACCTGGTCTTACATGGGTCGAGTGCCTACCAGACCAACCGGAAATTCTGCTCTTGCCTACTATCGACACTGCATAATCACTGTACCCACTGCAAGAAGTTAAAAGGACTGAAAGCAACCTTTTGCTTCTCAGAGGCTGATTCTGTTTCCTTGTTCCTGTGCTCTGTATTTTCCTTCATGTGCTTCCTCCTGACAGTGTCGTCTTCCGTGGATATTCCTGAAGGACATGCCTGAGGCTTCAATTTACCTAAGAAATCTACCTTTACTGCCCCGTTGTGTGGGCAGGTCCCAGTACTGCAAACTCCTCGTTTGGGTTCATTGCCAGACAAGTCTAATCTCTTACATTAAGGCTGGCCTGGAGAGGGGTGGGAACCACGACAGTGAAAGGAGAGAACTGGGTTCAATAAGCAAAACCGTCGCTGATGTTCAGGCCTGGGGAAGATGTTTGAGGATGCTCAGCTCTTTAAAATTTCTCCAAGACAATAAGACTTATGCATAATGATGTAGGAATTCGGGTTTTTATCAAAGCGATAAAAAGCAAATAATCAAAATTCCTACTGATGGGACAGGCAGTTCAACATACATAAGTATACATGTTGGAATATTAGGCAGCCATGAAAAATGATGTCACCTACATTAATTGACATGATAAGATGCTCATGATATAATCTGGAAAGCAAGGCGGGTAACAATAGCATAATCTCATTAAGGTTTTGTGTATGTGTGTGTGTGTGTGTGTGTGTGTGTGTGTGTGTGTAAAAAAGTATAGAATAATATATTTTAAAGAACACATGAACAGTTAACTCAGAGTTGTGTATAATGTTTATTTTCCTGAGTGGTATTCTCTAAGTTTTCTCAAAATGTAATATTTTTAAAATAATAATAATAAAAGCTATTTCCACTTGAGGGCAAAACACCTAGGCAAGTATATATGTACCATGGGGTGGTGGGGAAGTGATAATGGGAGTTTTGTGTGTCATTAGTGTTAATTAGTGTTTAATTCTCTCCTTTGTCCTTTTAATTCCAACTCCGGCTTAAGATGTCCAAGCAGAGGCGGCTAACTCACCCTCTACACCATTTTGACCAGAGTGCTTTCCTTGACAACCCTGTGCATGATAAACGGAAATGAATCTCATCATTCATCTTTATACATTTTCTCCACCACCTCTTGACCAGCAATTTAGGAAAGAAAAAACAAGATCCATTTTTAAAATGACAAGTATTTTTTAACTGGACTGGACTGACCAAGCATGGCAGCAAGTCTTCAGAGATGCCCCCTCCCCTCATCATGAAACACATGTCCGAGCACTCACAGCAAAAATTACACCATGTCATTTCCTTGCAGCTTCTGCCTGGGACGTTTGGGTCACTAATTCTGGGAAAATCCAACTGCCATGGAGGAATTCCAACTACTCTGAGACGGTCAGGCAGTGAGGAGCCCAAGCTAACTACACAGAGAGGCCACATGAAGAAAGAAATGCCTCATTAGTCCCCAGACCCACCCCAGCCCAGCCACCGCAGCTTGGGCACCAGACATGGGAGTGAGGAAGCTCTCAGCGACTCTTGCTCCGATGAGCTGACCACAACTGCATGACCGATGACAAGCGAGGATCCCCCAGCCGAGCCCAGTCAGCTCGCAGCACTGAGGGAAATAGTCACACACTGTTGTTTTAAAGGCTCTTAGGATTGGGGTTTGCTACACTATGGGAGATGACCAAAACACCACGAAACCACCACAGGAAGCTTTTATTAGCCCAACTGTCTCTCCATTTTCCACTTTCACAGTTTCCTACAAAAATCTTGAGTAAGCCGGGAATCGTTCTGATGGCTTACAAAGAAAGAAGGCATTTATACCCATCAAAAGAGAAACATTTCAAGGGCCTGATGTGTTAAATAGGAAAGAAAGGAATGGCTGTGAGAGGTGGATAACAACCTTCACACATGATGTCTGAGGACCTTGTTTAATTATGCCTCCTGCCTTCCACACGCCTCACCCTGATAGGAACTTAAAGCAAAATTCCTAATGGCAAGGAAGGCCTAGCAGTTGAGAAAGATAAAGGCCTGCAGCAGACTAATACAGTGCAGGAGAGGACTTCAAAATCAACATAATATAAACCATTATCCTTGGAAAGTTCCTTGAGTGATGTGTACAGAAGTAGGGGCACCCTCCACTTCGTATTCCAACCCCTGCCGTGACATCTGTCTGAGGTGAAATCCTAGGGAGTTTAATAGGGGCCACTTCTGACTCAGTAGCATCAAGCTGGGTGAGCCAAAAGCAAGATGCCAGGAATGTGTAGCTCTGGGTGTAACTGGTGATCCACTCAAACGGTCAGCATAAGTCTAGTAATTCTCCAAACTGGACCAGCGTGGATACATGTCAAATAGTTCTAGTCACTTGGTTTATAGGCAACATCAAAGAACTTGGAGGACCCAACCATATTTGCCTGAACTAAGGCTTTCTTCCCCAGAACATCCGCCCCGCACCACTGCCTGAAGACATAAAGCAAATGTCCTAATATTGCGTGTATGACGCACAGGATCAGAAAAAAAATGGAATGACTAGCTGGCCCAATAGTTCATTGTCAGGAACACGCAAAGGCCAAAAGGTCTTGGTCTTAATCTTTTCATTTGAGCCACCTGGACTGTCCCCACCACAAGCCATCTGACTCTGATCATGAAATATTGGCCTTCACTGCTAACCGAGGAATACTGACCGTAAGAATATTTGTCTGGAACTCACTGCGGATGAAACGACTTTCTAGTGAGTCTTCCAGACTGTGATGCTGTTGTGTTGTATTTTGTTCCACTACGTTTTGCAAGTGTGGTGACAGAGACGGGGAGAAAACAACAAAGAGTTTAGCACAGCTTTGACCTGTGGGGCTTTATCCCTAAAAGCAGCCTTTCTGGAACAAAAGGTTTCCATGAACAAACAGCTCCATTAATACCCAGACTCACTGCACTTTGTAAGACGTCTTTTATTGATTGTACATTTTCTCATGAGGTCAGCACAGCATTTCCTCCAAGGACACCTTGTTCCTGAATACCTATGTTGTCTGTCCTAGCCGTGAAGGCCACAGCTAGCACTTGGACGAAGAGAAGGGGTTGGATGTCTTTTGCCACCATCACTGGCTCCTCCATCTTCAAATTGTTGTTTGAGTCCGTTCCTAGATCGACACAATACTGGACACAACACGCATGTGTGTGACGGACGCTGTACATACACAAGCACACACATCTGGAGCCCAGTCCCTTCCTCTTCGCAGCGGTGTGAAACCGAAGGCCATCCTGAGATGGGCAATCAAAGTGTGAGCTCCGCGTCAACAGAGAAGAAATTGGGCTCAATCTCTCAGTTTCCTTTTCCTTTGGAGGTGGTGAGAGGGGAGCCAGAGCAGTTGCCATGGAGGCCACATAACCACTTAGCTCAACACTTCGGCCATTTCCTTGGTCAAAAATACGATTCAAAGAACTACTTTGCAGCACATCAGAAGCTTCTCTGCTTTACTCTGCTCTTAGATCAGGAAAGAGGAGGGAAGCCATAAGGTTATGCTTCTTACAAGACACTCGATTGGAAATTTCACCCTAGAATGACCGATGAGGCAAAATCACCCCCACCTTTGGCAACGATTATCATTCCTTGTTGATTGACTGTTAATTCCTTGTTACCAACAGATGACTTTTTCAAGAATAAGGACCCAGGACAGGTGGCCTCTCCAAATGTTAAAAACAAACATGATTTCTTTAAATCCACGTTACCCCTCAATTCAGTATACTTCAGGTAACTCTATAAAAACGTAACCTGCATCAATATGAATACTTGCATCTACCCCAAGTCTCACGTATCAGCTATTTGGTTGGTTTCAGGATTTTGAGGTCACATCAACAATTAAAACAAACAGTAGTTCAAAAGAAAAAAAAATGCACATAACCTGGATAACGGGAAAGCTGGGCTAAAATTAAAATGCATGGGAGCCACCAAAGCCGATAAAGCAAAGGCACGCTTGCCCACAAGAAGGTATTTTTCAATACAACCCTGCAGCCTCACTGAAGTTACCAACTGGTATTCATAATTCCCCTTTCCCCATACATGACGAGGCATGTTTCACCTCGAGCAAGTTCCCCCACACATTCCCACATGGGGAAACGCAGAGTTAAGTATATCCCCCCAACTCCTTCTTTGCCTCTGCAGCTCACAAGCAAAAAGTCCCTGGGGCCAGAACAGAAATGCAACATTCCCCCCAAAGGCATGGACACATTCCACCCATGTCCTTCAGAGGTCTTTACTTGAACTTCTTATGAAATCCATCCTCTACAGTTCAGCCCTCCTCGTTTATAAGAAAGAGACATAGCAATCCATGAACAAGAGAGGATTTCCACCCACCAGGGGAAACTAGTAGCTGCTACACGTGGCAGGAAAGACGAGGGATGCCAGCTGATGACGGAATCCACAACGTGGTAGCCACTCTTCCATCTCAGTCTCTCCAGAGATGCAGTGTTGGAGGTGGGTTTTGAAGGGTAGGGGTGCAAAGCTCTCCAGTCCCCTTCCAGAGTATTTTGGGTACCAGGAAAGGGTAGCAGAGCCTCCTAATTAGCATATGGAATTACTTTCATTCTAGCGTCAGGGAATTTAAAAACCAGGCATGTTTCCTCTCGCCCAACAGCTATCTTTACAATAAAGATGATGTCAACACAAATCTGGAGTACAACATAGGGAAACAGTTAGTCACATATACAAATACAAGAATCGTCTATCATAAAATTCGCACGATGTAAGGAAAAAAATGGGGTTTTTTTTCCTTACAGAGACCCGATCAATAAATGGAAGCAACATTCTCAGAGAGAACATTGAAACACTAATGAAGCTAGGGAAACCAAACTATTTTCCTAAAATTCTTGTAAAGTTCAATTCCATATAGAAATTAGATCTAGCATCTCATCGAGATTTTCACAAAATATATAGAAAAATGTCCATGTGCTTAAATTAAAAATTTGAACTACATCCCTAATACCTCTTTCACCTTTATATGACCCAATGGGCTGATTCTGTACATTGGAAAATATGTTCCAATTTGGAAGTTAATTACATAAAGAAAACATTTTTTTCCCCTCTAAAAATACCTGTTAGTTCTGTAAAACATCATTTCATCATTTCAGTTCATGTAGAAAATCACTTCACTCAAAAAACAAATTCGGGACTAAAAAGTAAGTCACACAACAGTAATCTGACAGATGAATTGTCTGAATTTTCTTCATCGAAACCTCCTTCGGTGGCTTTTGCAGAGATAGGCCGAGAACTCTACAAATTATTGCCCAGTGTGACTCTTTTACACATACAGTGTTCTGAGATGGCTGCTGTCAACCCCAGCTGTTAAATTTGCTTTAGTGGCAAACGTACCACAACCAGAATTCACCAGAGACTCTGTGTGTAGAAGGCACCTGATACAATTCTGTTGGGGTCCAAGCATTCCCTCCTGCTTGGGTCACGACAGACATGCCATCATAGTTTTCAGCTCCCGGAGGCTATACCACGTCCCACGACCTGCAATCTTTGGAAAACCCAGCAACAGTAATTCTGTTCGCTTGAGTCCCAGATCATCCCCTTCTGTGTGCCAAGACTGTCCAAAGAGCTTTACTTTCTCCTACACATCAATGAACAAAAATGACAGCTCCTGCCTCTGTAAATACAGAAATTTAGGAATTCCACCACTGCCATTCAGAGCCCAATAGTCGTGCCACCCTTGTCACGGAAATCAGGTTGTTCTCAATCCCTTTAGAAAAATAACCAACTTAAGGATCTATATGCATTTTCTTTCAAATGATGCAGGGTTAAAAATGAAAACAAATGGCCCTCTTTTCTTGCCCTTCCACCTCCAACCTCTCTGACCATACTCAATACGGCAAAAGCCAAGGACTCACAGACATCTTTGGCTACAAAATTCCCTAGATTCTTGGGCTGTTTAGGGTATTCAAGTTGTCACTTCATCCAAAGTTCCCAAGCCTTGAGTAGCCACAGAGACTTCCAGTTGAAGGGGAAAATACTGGTAGCCAAATATTCTGGATGGAGGTTGATGGGGGTTTCAGATGTCCAAGGCTGACCCTCATCACACTCTCTTCTCCTTCCCTTCACCACAAGAGACCCCAGGGGCACCACTAAACCAGTTCTGTGCTCTTGACTCTTAACTCCCCAAGTATTGAACAAGCACTGGGACGGAAAGCTTGAGATTGGAAGAAAATAAAACTATGCCTTTTCCACACAATTCACTGCTTCTGGAAATTCAAACTAGCTTTGAGTGTTGTTTTGAGTTATACCTTTGAGCTCTTCTAGCAAAGACCTGTCGTGTATCTCTATGAACATTCACAGTTCTCTGCACTGTAGGAAAAGTATGCTCATCAGATCACCTTTGGTGTATCCCCTTCTTAAAGCCACCAGAACTAAAGACCGAGCAGCTCAGCTTGTTTACCTTCAGCCAGAAGGTAGCTGATGGATGGGTTGCATACTCTCCAAGTGCGGTCTCACCCCTCTAATCATTTACCGTTATTCGGGGTGCCATATTTTAAAACGGTGACTCTGTAGAATCAATAACACCAGGAAAACACGAGAAAATTTTCTAATACCCAAGTCAATGCCACTCTCTGAATCTTCTTAAAGTTCACTCTTTTTAGAGGAAATAATAAATAAAGGTCTGGCTTCCTGGTGGGTTTTTTCCCAGAGGAGATCATCTCTGTAGTAATACTGAAACTAAGTTAAGGAATATATACCTGTCTTCCAACTCCTTGTATCAGCTTGCTCATTCATGGGTTTCTCAGTTTCACACTGTTCTCTGCATTTATCTCTTTTCCCAGACCCAAAACATGATTTCACTTCACGGTTCCTCTTTAAACCCAAAGTCCAATGACAATCCCTGAGGCAGTGGCCTGACTTGTTTGTTGAAATAGCTTGCAGATTCCAATACAAACATTGGTAGTGCCCAAAATGATGTTAACTGCTCATTTCTGGCCATAATAGAACATGACTTAAGAGGGAAAATACCCAACCCAGCTGCTCTTCTTCAAAGGCCAAAGGGACATTTTATTATAAGGTCTAATATTTTGAATGAGGGTTTGGCGAAAAGTTCCCTTAGAGATCCCTTACATTTTCAAGATCTGGGGACAGCAGCATCCATGTAGGCAGACCACGTAGAAGCACTGCTTCTGAGCTTTGACGTATGGAAACAGCTGGGTCAGTTCCTGCCCACACACGCTAAGTCAGCCCAGGTCATCTGGGATGGGTGGGGGAGCAGCAAGAAAATGCAGTCGAGGAAAGCAGAGAAGGCGGGGAGGCCTGGCTGAAGCCAGACTCTGGGGATAACTTAGGAAGTTCTGTTTCCCACCTTAAGACACAGGTAAGGGCCCAAATGTTCCATGCTTTCCCCAAACTCAGTCTCCAAGTCATAAGAGCGTTAGCCTCATTCCTTGAAAGAGACCCTGAATCCCAGAAATCCAAAAGTGTAAGCCAGGGAAAACCCGAGCATGCCACGACGAACTGTCCACTGTCCGTAACTGTCCACGCTGACAACTGTAAGAAAGAAACACAGTGCAAATCTTCCAAAATCTAACTGCAATCTCCCAAGAATAAAGGGTTCAATGTCCTAGTTCAAGTGACAAAAGTGAAGTTGACCTGACAGTCCAAAGGAAGTAGGCTGGATGTTTTGAAATTCTATTAACATATGTTTGTGTTACAATGAGATATTGGTTTCTTTTAAAAAGATATCTCTACCCCAAAGTCATCGACCTTGCTTTGTGTTTCTACTTAGACCCAAGTCCTCTTTACTTCAGATAGAAAAAAGGCTCTTAGAGAAATTTTGCTTGTAAAAGGAGTTTGGGTCGGAAACTGAAAAACTAAACCCCAACTTAAGTCTTGATTCCAATGACTCCATCAGAAAACCTAGAACGGTAAATGGTGTTTGCAGAGCTGTAAACAGTGACTCTCTAAACCTCAGAAAAACGACCCATCCTCTCCGCAGACACCAGGAGCAGGTAGGGAGTGATGTATCTGGTGGCAATGTGCTTCTCCCAGAGGATAGTTTCATTCTGAAGGCTCTGGAATTCAGGTTTTGTTTCCCCAGGTGAAGAGAAAATATTCTTGTAGGTAAATGGCCAAATCCAATATTTAAACGTGCTTTCTTGAGGTGTTTCTGAGTGTCATTCTAAGTGCGATTTATGTTTGTTTGATGATATGGCAAAAATGTTTCTGAATAATAAAGAGATGATAGCTTTAAGTAGGATGTGTTGTAATGGTTTGTAAGAAAACGAAGACCGCTTGGGTGACTGGCAGACAAATAATCTGTATCTGTACAGGAAGGAAGATACAGGTATTGTACAGACAGAATTATATGGACAGAAGGGGAAGCCAATTATACAGCTGTTGTCCCATAGGGAAGACAGAGCTTTCACTAGATGCTGTAGGGCCCAGAAATTCAACCAGGGCTGGCAACTCAAAAAAATCACATCAGGAAAAAAGGCTTTTGCATAGACCCCTCAAAATAGAAATTTACTGATTAAGAAAAGGATTAAGGTAAAGCAGCTCCATCTCTTCAAGTCCAGAGATGGTACTCACGGGGTAGGCAGAGGTCCCTGGCCGCAGTGAGAGCTTGGAGCTCCAAGTACACTGAGAATAAGTATTTTGACCCCAAACCATTCTTTCTTACTTTCTTAAAAGATGGTCAAATAGATGAGGTGGATGAGTTGGAAGATTTTAAGAATTTTACCTGCTTCTGAGGTTAAATATTGCCTGTCAAAGTCTCAAATCCTGATACAGTGCAGGGAAAAGGGAAACCAAAGGATCAGCGTCAAGGTTCATGACTCTCCTTGCACATGAATCACACCGCAGAGAGAAACAAAAAGCAAAGCTAAGAGGCAAGAGTGCTGTTAATGTCTAAGAGAAGTGTGCCTTTCATTTCCAAGTGGGAGTAAGTTATTTTGATTATTGCAAAAAATAAAAAGCAGGTACTCAATTTAGTTTGAAGAAAATTGTCCCATTGGCTTCCAGATGGAATACTTACCTGCGGAAATCAAGAAGCAATGTTCATGGGACTCAACAGTCTCCATCTTTTCCGAACTCATCTTCCTATGTCCACCTTCCCAATCTGCCTCAACAGCAGCAGAGTTAAATACTCACTAAATGGAAGAACTCTATACACAGAGTTAATCAATTAGAGGTTTGATTTGACGGTCTAGGACAGGTGTTGGCAAACCATGGCCTGGGGGCCAAACCTAGCCCGTTGCCTGATTATCTAAATAAACTTTTACTGGAACACAGTCCCAAAGTGATGCTTCCTGGTTATCATTGGTAGTGTTTTCCCTGTGGATCACTTCACTCCTTGATCTTCAAGAAACCTGAAGCCCCAAATCAGAGAGCCCATTGACATATCTGGCCAAGAGGAATAGTTCTTGATCGCTGCTTACTCAGCCTGCTAGGAACATGCTGTGGAGGCAGCCCTGCTCCATGGAGCAAGCTCCTGCATGCTGCCGAAGAAAGCTGTGCCCTCGAGTCAATGCATGGGATCTGCCAGTCCATTCCCAGGATTAATTCACCTCCCCGCATTATCTCCTCATCAGACCCAAGAACAACTAACTGCCTTTCTTTCCCTTCTACAGCAGCCCTGCCATGAGCAGGAAGGCTTCTTCACTGAACAAAACAAAAAAGCAAAAGAGGACGTGAACTACGAGGCAATCCTTGGGGTCTGTCTGTCGTAGGAGGGGCAAGAGCAGCAGGAACCAATCTCCGTGTGGTTTGATGTGATATTCCCCCTCGAGGCTGACAAATGTCCTCCTTACTAAACACAGATGTTCAAAGAAGCCACTTGGCGGGACGTGGGACTTACCAAATAGACACACACACACACACACACACACACACACAGAAAAGTAGGTGGTAGAAAAATCACTTCACAAACCACATTCCATTAATACTACACCACAAATGTCAAGAGAACCAAATCTGTGACTCTTGGAGCTGTGAGAGAAGTGACTTTATGGTTTCCACAGTTGGGGAAAGAGTCTGACCAGGACACCTCACCACTTCATCTAGATTATTTGGTTGTTACCAAGGACTGAGCAGAAATGTGAGAACATGCGGCAGCCACAACAGCGGAGACAGATATTTCACAAGAAGAGCTGCTTGTTGATACTTTTATAATACTCTTAAAGATGCATATTAAATAATTTCTTCTGGACCACAGACACAGTTGAACTTAAAAAATAAAAGCCCTATAAATATTGACAATCCAACCGTGTCTTCTCTACCTCCCTCCTTGCATTAAAATGGAATCTTTGCAACCAAGCGCTTAAACATAAATATTAAAATAATATGTGGGACAGACTACAGGTCTACTTACAATTTCATCACTACTGTAGCACCTTTTGACCAGGGCCAATGCATTCATTTTCATAAAGAACAAGAGAAGTCTGAGAAGCTTAAGGACTCATGGGACACATCATTAAATATTTAATCACCTTTGTAAGTCCTAAGCCTTTATCATATTTCATCCATCTAGACAGTTCATTCTATACTATAGATTCCAAGGCCCCTTTTGGAAGGGGGGAGAAAATGGGGAGAAAAAAGCCTTCTGAGAGGCAGGGTTAAATTATCTCAAGGAGAGTTTCCGTTGGTGTTTTAGTGAACTTGCTTCACCCCGTAAACCCACCGATCCACAGGAGGGTCAACCGATCGAGTCCATTGTTTCTAGTCTCCAACAATCAGTTTTACAAAAGATGCCACGTCTGTTGCTTTGGATTCGTGTAGGGTGAAAAATGGATGTTGCTGGGGAAATAAAGGAAAATACATGGTATTAGTGTTTGTCACAGACCAGGTATGAAATTAGCTAGTTAACAGATCTGGTTGGTAAACACAAGTGCCCCATCAAGGGCTAAACTGGACTCTTCCTACCCCATCCCAAATCAAGTTCCTGTCCAGTGATGCAAACATTTTTAAAGATAGCTCCTCTTAGTTGCCTCTCTCCCATTTTGATATGCTCCCCCTTGCTTAAAAATATACGGGGTGTCCCAAAAAATCATACACGTACTTTAACAGCTGATACCTTCAATTTTTAAAAATGAAATGTATTTTAATAAACACTGCCTTTACAATTATTCGAAGTGTGTGTACACATTCTTAGGGGCACCGTAAATATTTAATTAGGCTACATAAGATCCCATCTCTGGTAAAATACAAGGACCAGCAAAGACAGTCCAAATTCTGATTTACACTTAACCTTTCCCTACAAAGAAAAGTTAGACTGATACTGTAGTAAAATAATTAGAAATTTCATAGGTTTATGCATAGTCATTTCTTGGGAAATGGGTGGTGGTAGAATAAAAAACCAGGCCTTTGACATTGGAAAGCTCATTTGGAATGAAAGAGTTAAAGCCAAAGTCACAGCCACAGGTTATATTCATGTCTCTTTGAGGAAGAACTGATGCTTCTGTAGATGCCAGAGTCTGGGTCTGTGTGGAGAAAATGCAACTCAGAGGTCAAAGATTGAAAAGCAAAAGAAGTGGTCTATTCACGCAGTTCAGATTAAACCAACTTTACAAGAACATCCAGTCCAGCACTGTGCTGGGGGAACAGACATGGTCTGACATGAGAGGCCATGCACCTCAAAACAGTTTTGAAGGAAATAGAGCCATTTTCTCTGCACCAGAACCATCCTTCTTGAGTAACTTGATTTTTTCAAGGTAAGTGTCCGGCTGTCACCTGGAAGATTCCACCTCTAATCAGGAGATATATCAGCTCATGATCCACAGTTCTCACAGGGGATATAGAACCAACCAACCAGATCAGAAAGGACAGTTCTTTCAGAGAGAGCCAGGGCCCGGTCTCGCTCCCCACTGCCCCCGCCCACCAGACAAGGCCACCTTCCTGGTGTCTGCTGGCATTATTTCTGAGGACCAGAAGAGCAGCTAAATGTGAGCACTTCTCCATGTACATGACTCACTCTGTTTCCCCTGACTTTGGATTTTAGTTTATAACCTTCATGTAGCCCAGCTGTAGGGTTTCTAATTATATTTGTTGTAAACCTGACAGCAGAGGGCTGGGTGAGTCAGCCCTGTGGGGAGCTGGATGCCCACCCATGAAAGTTTTAGGAACAATGCAAATGGGAAAGGAACATAAAATAAATAAAAGCCCAAAGAAGGTAGGTGGTTCCTGTTCAGTATCAGGACACAAAAAATGGAGAAGACTTTTGGCTTTGGCCCATTGGAAGACAGAGGCTTGGTGTTGGCTCAGAGCCTCACATCCACGATATCCACCGAAACTCTTGATGTTGGGCCCTCCGTCCTGAGCTCTCTGGGTAAATAAAATCTAGCATGACTTCTGATTCCTAACCACGCACACAGCACGCTGACCACGTGCTTCACCACCCTGCTTATTAGCTTCCCCACATCCTCTTGACATTTGGCGATCTTTGAATGTACTTCAAAGCCGTTTACTATCAAAACAGGACATGTGAAACCTCAGATTATCTCAGTGACTGCTTCCCAGGCCTGCCCTCCCTCCCTACCATGCCTCTGGTTCTGCTGGTGGCTTTTAGCTCCATGGATGGAGCCCAAGTCTGTGAATGAATTCAATAACCTGACCTGACATCTTTAAAAAAAATTCTCAGACATCTTCCCATTTATTCTCAGGCTGGGAAAACACTGTGACAGCCAGAGGGCAGGGAGAAGGGAGGCAGGCAGGCAGGCAAAGTGGAAAGTGTGACTCGCCCTCTTGTGTGGGTTTGGAGGCCGAGAAAGGTTAGGGGGGAACCCAGTCCCTTCTATAAGCAGTGCACCAAGAATAGCAAGGACAGCAATCTGGAGATGAGCAAATGGAGCACCATGAAATCATTTCCAGGCTGGGTTTCTCAAAAAAAGAGTCAGGTAGAGGAAAGAAGGACTTTACCAGTGGTTGTGCCTAGAGAAAACATGGAGATCCAGGAACATGCTGCCAGGAGCATTGGGGCAATCTACAATCAACAGTGGTCTCCATAGCCTATGTCAACACCTCATCCATTGAGAGGGTAGTTTCCTATGGGTTCAGTCATCCTTAACACTACAATTCAATCTAGAACGTCCCAGGATATTTAGAGAACATTGTCACCTCACTGGGCAATCACTGGTGTTGCCTGGTTATCATTTCTGGTGGTAATCATCTGGGACAGTGGTCAACAATCGGTGGTCCAGGGGCCAAATCTAGCCCAATGCCTTGTTTTCCAAATAAAGTTTTATTGGCACACGGGCCACACCCATTTGCTTACAACTCAATGTGGCTTTTCTCACACTCAAACAACAGAAGTGAGCAGTCCCACAAAGCCTGAAACACTCACTATTGAATCCTTTACAGAAAAAGCTGGCTGGCCCCTCCTCTAGAACAAATCCTACTGAGCCTTGGCTCCCCATGGGAGCTTGAGAGAATATGCAAATGAGATGATCTGAAGGCAAATACACCCACTCGATCCAAGTTAGAAAGAAAAACATTTGAGATTTCTATAAGAGGTCCACGTCTGGGCTAGGGCCTTAATTATAGTGTTCTTCACCTGAAAAAAGGAGTTCTGTTTTCTTTTCAACCTCCTCACCAACTCCTACAATCTAAACAATGGCCTCTCAGCAAGTGTTTTCCCAACACTGAAGTCAAAGAGCTTGGACTCAGATTTTCCACTTAAAAACCTCAATTCCACAGAGAAGCATGGAGCAGTTATGGCCTTAAAAGGCAAGTCCAGATCCAGTACCACAGACACTAATGCCACAAAGGGAAAGGGCTGCCCACACGACCTAACAACATTAATATGCAGGCCACAAAAGACCACAGCGTTAGAATGCACTGGAAAGGTAGAATTTGACATCGGCGGCCAATGTACATTAAGCTAGGACTCAGCATTTTTTCTCGAGTGTGTTCTACTGAAACCTCTGATAAGAGGTCACTTGGAAGGAAAGAGAAAGTTTTGCACTTTCAATAATCAGAAATATGTAGGAAATGTTCTTCTCTCTGAAAATACTGACAAACAAGGCAAGTTTCAAATGGGAGTCCAGGCTCCATAGGACCCCAGGCTCCATAGGACCCCATAGGGGTCACTCATGTCTGTTGCACTTTATGTGAAATTTACTCCCTTTTTCATAGGTAGTGCAAATGGTAAACTGTGAGTGCTGAAGTCGTGTAATTCAAATTATTACGGCTTTGTCTTTTCCCCACTAAAGTAAAAACCAGAAGGAAAAAACAAAGGGATTCTTTCCTCCCTAAACTCCCAACAAAAAGAAGTTTCTTCAATTAATCCTAAATATTTTATCAAAAATTCATCAGTCACATAGCACTTAAGTTTCTCTCATTATTAAAATCTGTTAAATGTGCTTTCTTTCAGTTTATGTCAGTAATTTGTGACTCTTTGTATCTTTAAAGTTTGAAAATATAAGTTTTATAGAATAATTTGATCTATATGATGTTGTTTATCAGCATGGAAATACTGCTAAGACGGTGATGTAATAAAAGGGGATTTAGGACACATGAAGGGATCAAGCGTTTTTTCCTTCAGTTCAGTTCCGGTTCCCAGCGTCTCAGTGAGTCAGCTCTTCCAATATGGTTGCTCCACTGTGTTCTAGGTCTTAGGCACTTGTATTGCTGCTAACTGTTAGTTTGGACACGTTTATGACGCTAAGGATACTCACCATAAGTTCTGGATACGTCGGCCGTTCTTTGGAATTCTTCTTCAAGCTTAAAGAGAAAAAAAAAATTAATCACATTAAAATCTAGAAACCATCTGTAGTTTCACTAGACTATGATTTCAGAACTTGCAGAAAACTAAACATAACCAGCGTTAAAAACGTACTGAAAACATAGACCTCCTATCTTGACTTTTATATTTACAAACTATGTTTTAAATCACCCAGGGTGTATCTTAAGGGAAAGAACAGGTGTGTGAGTGCATGTGTGTGTTTACTTTCCTTTGATAATAACCAATGACATATAAACTAGCCTTTCTGATCTACAGCCATTCTGTGTCAACATACATATCTACTTTCCTTCAAAACAATGTTTACTCCACCCCCAAGGGAAAAGAAATTGGCAGGTGTTTCTTATGTTACCCTTGATATCTCTTCACTCTCTTCAATACCTTGCTGTCCTTGCATCCCCTGAACATATAATTTGCTTTTATATATTACTAACCAACCCTTCCTGAGATAGATGCAGTACACCCAACAAATTGTCTAAGGCAACACTGCTTGTTTCCGACCTCTGCGTTCTCTGAAAGAAAATGCACACTCAGCCAGTGACTTAGCAATTTTTCTTTTCACAAATATTTTGAGGCCGTGCACTCCTGTCAAGTGGCTACCATTCATTCAGCTGTCCACAGACACAGACATTTTAATAACATTTGATATCGAAGACAACAGCAGTAAGATTTCAATCAGAAGAGTCCCACCCCTCCACCCACCCCTATATCCATCCCCAGCCATAAAATGGAAAAAAACAAAAGACGTGGTTTATTTGGAGTTGGAATCCCAGGTTACAGAATGGAGAAAAGGATGGTTTTGAAAATGGTGATTTGCAAGGCAACCTACAGACTCCCCTGCCCGCTGGGTCACAAAATCACAAACGAATGGCAAGGAACTTGGCCTGGTGTTGGAGGTTGCTGGGGGTCTGTGTGCATGGATCACTCTGAGCAAATGAGACCTAGTACGTGTGGCGTGAGCTCTGCTCCAACCACACAGAACCAGGGGAGAGTGGAATCGTCGAGACGCTGTGAGAAACCGTGGTTTAAAACAAAAAGAAATGAAGGAAAGAGGAAACTTTGGAACCAAAACAACGGAAAGCAGCCTACCAGATTATTCCAGGCAATTCTGTGGGTAGCCAGGGAACCTGAGACAGGGTACAGGTGGATGTGAGGAGAGGAGTTTCAACCTGGAACTGAGGGCTGATCTAGGACCTAGGGACCTCAGGGACCAGACCACCTATGAGAGAAAGTTTCATCTCAACGGAGGGTAAAAATAAGAGGGAGTTAGAAAGAGGAATTATCAACTGTCGAGGTGAACTGACCTGGGAAGGTGTGCCTGAGTGAAATGAATGGGACCTTGTCACTCCCATGTGCAACTCTGTGTCCCTATCTCTTGAGATTCTACAGGGCTCTCCTAGGGGTTCCCAACTGCAGGGGACTTGGCCCTCCAGCAAGTATTTAGCAATGTCTAAAAGCATGTTTGGTTGGCAGAGCTGGTGGGGGGTTTGGGGGTACTGGCATCTCTATAGGCAGAAGCCAGGGATGCTGCAAAACATCCTATAATGCACAGGACATCCCCACAACAGAGAATGATCCAGCCCCAAATGTCATTAGAGCCGAGGTTGAGAGCCCTGGGCTACGTATACTAGGGGTACATCCTCATTGCTACCTTCTATCCCCTTCTCCGAAATAAAATTCACTTACAACAGCAATTTTCAACCTTTTCCATCTCATGGCAAACATAAGCTATACTAAAATTCTACACACACCAAAAAATATATTTTTTGCCCATCTAACAAAAAAAAGGTATAGTTTTGATTCATTCACACTGGACGGCTATTGTTGTGTTGGCTGTTGTCATTTTTTTATTTGATAGTCTCAGAGAAAAGTGGTGAGTGCCCCTAACTGAATCAGGTAGTGCATGTTTTAAAAAATCTGGCAGCACACTAGGGTGCCTCAGCACCCTGCTTGAAAATCACTAACTTAGAAGCAACTCCAGCTGGTCCATCTGTCACATGGGTACATGCTCATCACTATCACCTCTCCCTATCCCCCACCCCAAGAAGCAAAAGTTCTTCCTTATAAATTCAAGAGCTACTTCAAGAAACAGATGCGGAAATGCAATCCCAGGAGTGCTGCAGACCTGCAGAGACCCTTGTTAAAAAAAAAAAAGAAAAAGAAAAACCAAATAGGCTAATGCACAAAGCCCTGAATTCCCAGCCATTGTGCAAAAGCAAATAAAAATCCAGACCATCTTTTCTATGATCTAAACAATTTAACTTGCTAAAATAGACCATGAAAAGCACAGGTTCAAGTCAACATTAAACCCACACTCGATACTGAAGCGATTGGTCAGACGGAACCTGAGTCAGTCCTCAGACCCCAGCTCTGAAATGCTCTCCTGAGGACCCAGGCCCAGGGCGACGAGAGTCAGGAAGAAAAGCCTGTCTCAAAGATTAAAACAACAGCCTCCTTTGTCAATCAGAGATCTTGGGGATGCTGCTGAATTCTGACCTTCTACTGGGTAGATCAATGAACTTACAATCTCTTTTCTCCTCAGGTTGAAAGAACTTAAAACTTCTGTTTTTTAAGGACAGGTCACTTTAACTCAGGAAGAGTTTAAGAAAACTTCTCCTAGTATTTTCTTTAAATCTGTAAAAAGAAAATGTGGGGAAAGTCCCCCACATTGATCCATCATCAAACGTTAAGGATTCCTGAAATCTCAGAGACTGCTGACCAGTAGGCGGATTCTCGACTTAAGATCCCTGATTAGAAAACTCAAAATTTACCTCAAGCACCATTGCAGCATTGATGGAAAATACACAGCAAACCAGGGCTGTTTATTGAATTAACATAACTGATAGGACCCATTCTCTCTATCTTTTAAATCAGGGGTGGGAACCTTTTTACCGCCAAGGGCCACTTGGATATTTATAACATCACTGAGGGCCATACAAAATTATCAACTTAAAAAGTAGCCTGCAATATTTGGTCAAACATTTAATTAACTCACCCCTAATGTGTTGGCTGGAACTGTGGTGGCCTTGGCAGGGCCAGACCAAAGGATTTCGTGGGCCACATACTGCCTTCGGACTGGACGTGCCCCACCCCTGGTTTAAATGGAGAACACCTCAAAGCACAGCCTGAGGATAGCAAGACACTCAGTGGAAGGTTAGGGGAAAAGGCAAATGTTCCACGTTTAATAGGACGTGCTTGAAATTCAGTATGAAATAACAACGGCAGAGTTCAAAGCTACATGATTTCTTTTTGGATTTGAGTCAGATCTTTGCATTTTCAAGTGGCTTGTCATTTTCAAGCTTGCAATTAGCTAACAGCCCTAATTCCTCTTCCAAATGCCACAACACACGCTCCCGACCCTGGCCAACACTAAAAAATAGCTTCACGCTCTCTTGAGAACTGCTGGCCTGAAGTTTGTGCTGACCCGAGGATTTCTGCCTATTTGAATCCACCGCCCTCCCCAGGCCCTCACCCCCATCGTTTCCAAGAAGGCGATGTGGTACATCCACAAAATAAACACACACTCCGCCTCTCGAGCCGTACAGATGTCATAAGCTAAATACATAGCCAGTGCCTCTTTTTACTGTCCTTCCTGAACAAGTTGGGAACTATATTTGATTGTCTCTGTCTTATACTAGTTCCTCTGAGTCAGACAGTATCCATGTCTGGGTGGGCCTCCGACACACCAGCACGCCACCGGGCTGCTCAGCTGGGCGCTGAGCCTTCTCCACCCGCTGGAAGGGCAAGCATAAATGAAGTCAAGCCGTCCTGGCCTTTGGGAGCTGGCTTCCAGTGACTTCCTTTGGTCCCCAAGCCTGGGAAGCTATAGGAAAAGACTGCAATGACAAATGTAAGCCTGCTGAACTCCTACTGTCTTGAGAAAGTCATTTGCTAAGCCTTCTGCAGGACTAGCTCGCATGGCTTTTCTATCAGACTTCTCTGTGATGAAACCCCACATGAGGCTTAGATGGGGCACGATTCCCCCCAGGAACTATTTAAAACCCTTATGATAAGAAAGCCACATGGGGGGTAGAAAATACCTTTCAGTGGTCCCTATTTCAAAGTAAGTACACCAAGGAAGGAACTGTAAGATATTTTTTTTCCCTTCAAGTTCATAAGGAATAAATGGCTTAACTTTTTCTTTTCTCCACCCCTCCCCTCAAGATAATGTTTCTCTGAGGTTATTGCAAAAGAAATACATCAGCTGGATATCTGGGGTCTAGAGCTAACTCAGGACATGAGAGGGGTAGCCTGAGAGGGCTTCCTACTCCACCCCACACACCACAATATACTGTCAAACCAACCAACGGAGATCAGGGGAGAGTGGCTAAAAGCTGATTCCCTGAATGAAGGTGTAGAGCATTTAGCATCACTGTGCTGTCATCAAACACTTGGGAAGGATGCATCCCATGAAGGGTCACAGATACTCTGATGGTTACCTAGTTCCAGTTCTATATTTAGCCCAGAGACAGATGTAGGAGCTAAAAGCATAGATGTAATTAACCTTTATCGGAAGAAAGGGAACTTTAGTTTCTGGCAAGGAGTGGGTCCCGCTGGCCGAATAAAGATAACTTTAATAATAAACAATACATTTTCTTTATAAATGTTTTTACTTTTCATAAATAACTCAAAAAATAGATAAGATAGAGGCAAAAAAGTAAATGCCTGCAGAGCTGAATTTAAATGCCCAAAAAAGCTCCAGCAGGGAGACCCCACTACGGGAATTTAAATGCCGTCTTTTAAAGGTTAATCTCGAAATCTGAGATTCAATCTCTCACTTTCCAAATCTGGAGTCTCTTTCCCTCACTTACGACAAAGAGTTGGGGCTTTTTGAGATGTCTTGAGGGATCATAGCCTAACTATGTCATAAAAATACAAAACAGGGTCCTTTCATGAAGATGTGTCTCAAATATACCGTTTTCTACGTAGGAAAATAGAGAAACAGCTACAAAAGGGAGTTATGCTCAGAAGCTATCTCCTCTTCATCATGAAATAGAAAGGGTGCTCTTAGGTTATAATCAGTTTTCCATTCTTTCCACCCAGCTCCAGATCAAACTTAAAACCATCAGAGGTGAAACAACTAGACCGCCACTGGGGGGAGGCGTGCATCTGTATGCTAATACATACGAAAAATTAAAATGCTTCCACAAAGATCTAAGCCATTCATAAAATCATCCAGCCAAAGAAAAAAAAGACAATGGTAGGCCACCATCATACATCATTAGGGGACAATACCAGGGGTGACACAGGGCTAGAGCTAACAACAAGTCCAAGAGGCCTCAGTTTCACCAGCCATAGGCAGTTACTTTGTCTCATCATGTTACCCAATAAAAGCTGTATTTAGAACGCTTCTTCCAATGAGCATGGAGGCTCAGGAATGATAACCCTGAGGAAGCTGTACCCTCAAACAGCCTTCAGAACCCCAGCCCCTTCCCCAGCAGCAAGAGGCCAGCACTGCTCCTCTCCAAGAGTCCCAGTGGGGCCGGTCACCGCCTCTGATTCCCTTCCTTCCCAATGCTCGCCTGCTTCGGCAGGACACTCAGATCAACTAATGTGGCTCCATTCTGTGTTTCCTTTTGGCATCCCTTCCCAGCATCTCTTGCAATGATCATTAGCAGCAAGTTACGTTGGGCACCATGGTCCCTCTGCAGACAGAAATCACTAGATTTTCTGGAAAAAACTACCCCTTCTACTACTTTCCTCGATTCCACTGGCAATTTTGATACGAAGTTTACAGCATTAGTATGGCTCCTTTTATCTTTCCACTCCTACCATCATCTTCAGATTCCCTTCTCAGACCCCCAGTGCTGCCCGTCACACCACCCTGGGCACGTATATCCACAGTTAGCAAGCACTCTGCAGGAGACAGCCTACAGAACACTAGCATTACTTTGCAAGACGTCTAGGTACCTGAGTAACACTCTGAAATTAGCCACTGTCTTCTCATCCAAGGTGATTCTTTGCATTTTACCTACCTCCCACCCCTGACCCTCCGATGGGCCCCACCATCTTTCTCTTTATGCTCTAATCAACATCCGACTGCTTCAACCTCTCATAACAGAGTTTCCTCGAGTTTATGACATGATGCCTGATGTTTCTTCTGCTTGGAACACCCTTCCCTCCCCTCCTTGCCTTTCACTTGGAAAACACCTCACATGGTGTCAACTCAGGATTTATCTCCTCCAGAAACTCTATCTTTCTCTGAGTCCCCCAAAGACCCTGTGAATACCTCCATCCCTGGACCTGCCACGTTGTACTATAATGATTGACTGGCGAGACTCCACACTTAACTCCAGCTCAGTGAGGGCAGGGACTGGACGGAGGCCTCTTTGCTGCTCCAGCAGGGAGGGTGCCCTCCATCCATGCACAGGAATAACTGTGTGCATAATAGATTAAGCTCACGGAGGAGATTCAGGCTAGCTCCTCTTTCTTTGTGCAGGCACCTGGGGGGCAAGGCACTCTTACCACTGTGAGGTAAAGTCCACGAACTCTTCGGAGAATTTGTCTGCTGGGAGCTGTGGCGATGGCTCCTCGACCACCTGTTTGAGCTGCTGAAAAGGAGTCCCCCATGAGTCGTAGGGAAACCGAAGGATGGCCAACTCGATCTGCATGGGAGAGGAGACCACGGCTGAAATGGGGGCCTTCACAGATTCCCCTGTGTCCTCCAAGGACAACCAGCAGGATGAAACCGTGGGGAAGTTCACGTAAAATTTCAGGGAAAGCAAACTGATAATCTGTTCTCTAGCAAATTCCTCCTCCCCCTCACCCCCCAATTTCCTAGTGCCAGGGATTGTCAATATGATTTTACTGAGCCTGTTTAAAACGAGGTCCTCACCCAAACCCACGGTGGCACTTTAAAATTACAAGCCAGCAGGATGTAAAGCAACCGTGTTTTCAAGGGTTCAGTCTGAAAAGTGATTCTGGACCTAAGACTTTTAAGGAGCTGTGTTCATCTGCTGCCACCTGCAGGTCCCTCAAGGGAATGAAATAAAAACAACCGAGGCCCAAATGCCTGATCTTTTTTTGGACTCAAGTAAAGGCCACTTTGCTGTCACAAGATCACATGTGTTCTGGGCAGGGACGTGAAGTAACTTGCGGATTTAATCAGCTGCTGGGCCTGGGAAGGAGCCAGGACCACAGTGGAGAACCCAGACCTTGGCGACACACTGAGAATCAACGATCAAAGTCAGTAACAAGGCACTAATCCTGTAACTTTAGGGCTGGGCCTAAGGAAATTACACTATTTTATCATGTCTTTTAGCCACCTGACTTCAGTGGCCAAGACGTCTGTCATAACCATGTTCTGAGAAGCATATGTCCACACACCAGCACTCTTTGAGTGGCTCAAGCTTCCTTGTGCCTTGATTAGAATAATTCAATTTCAAGAAAACGGTCAGGACCTCTAGTGAGGCCCTCTCATTTTCCAGATGAGGACGGTGAGACAGTCCACGGGGGCCCATCCTCTACCCAAGGACATACAACTCCTCAGAGACGGGATCAAGAGAAAACCTGGGTCTGCCCAATGCCAGTTCAGTGTTCCTTCTGCATCATACTGCCAACCACCGCTGCTCAGAACCTCCTGCTGTCTCACGCAGGAAGGATGCCCACGACCAGCATGCAGGGCACTGCTCTCATGCCCAGAACCTTGTCGCCCACGGTGGTTATCATACACTACCATTGTGATGCCCAGACTCCAAATGTCAGACTTCACACTGTATCCCTTCTGGTTGAGCTCGGGGTTTATTCTTTCAGGCTGGAGAGGAGACAGAAAAAGACAACAGAGATGACATTCTTAGCTCAGTAACGTCTCCTGGGGTGAGGGTGGCACCAGCTGCCAAATGAGTGGTCTGAAGCTGTAAACGTTGTCTCCTGGGCCAGGGAGACTCACCAACTACAGTAAATATCAACGTCACCACTGTTTTGTCTTCATTCTACATTAGTTTTTTTCTTGCAGACAATGATAAATCAAAGTCCCCTCACAATTCAAGACCAATTGCCATTCTCTTGCAGAAGAAACAGGATATAAAGCTACTTTGCCAGTCTAGAATGGAAAACATCAACAGTCCAGAGCTCAGTAAAAAAAAAAAAACAAGAGTCACTGGGTTACCTTCTGGTGTTAACAGGCTGACATACTTTTAGTAAAACTGGGACAAGATACTTTTTAATTCCAAGCACAAGTCCATTTCAACATAGAATACAGCAGAAGTCCTTTGAGTGAAAGGTGGTCCCGAGGTGTCTGCTGATGGGAATGAATCCTCACAGCTATGAACTTCTCCCAGGACTAACCTGACTGACGCATTTGGGTGATTTAAATTCTATTGATTGTTCTGTCCTCAACAAACAAGGTAACACGTCCCTGCAACTCAGCGTGGGAATCTGTGTGGGCTGTATGCATTATTTACATGTTTTTTCAAACAATATACCTTCTTGCTTGATTTTTTAAAAAAATAATACAGATGAAGCAGGTTACTGAGGATTTCAGACAGAACATATTTAAGAAAAAGGGGGGGATGCGGAATACTTCTTGCATTTTAATGACATTTCCGTTCCCCCCTTCCCCATAGCCATCCCATTCCTATCTCCTGGCAGGGTCTGAGTTCTCAGCTGCCACCCCCAGCCCTGTACTCACAGCCATGTATGGTTTGCATCCTGCATCGATCGTTTTAGCAACTGAGTCGACAAGGTGGCCACTGATGCCGAAATCGCACATCTTCACTTGGCCCAGGGTGTTGATGAGCACGTTGGAGGGCTTGACGTCTGAAAGCAAGGACAACCCGAGCCGGTCACCCCAACCTTCTCAGAAGATTCACTGCTCTACCACCAGAGGGCCTGAAATCTCCATTTCTCCTTCAGCCTACTTTCCCCAGGCCCCACACAGGAGCAAACGCCACCCAACTCAGTGACATACTTCTTACTTTCAACTTGATTTTCTATTTCACGGTGTGTCTTTCTTGTGGAATTGTGTGAATCCACCAGTGGATAAGAACTGTTTCCTCAATTTTATCATCTTCGTGCCCTGCCCCCCATCATGTAATAACTTGACAAATTATTACTGAATCACATGTCCAATTCCTCGGGCAGAGTCTGAATTACGGGAGATGGGTAAGTTCTAGAGATCCCCTGTACACCCTTGTCCTGTAAAGAATACTTCACAGTACACTTAAAACTCCGTTATCATGGTAGAGCTCATGTTAATTGTTCTTAGGGCAATAACATAATATTTAAAAGCCCGGTTTCTAATGACCTACTGTACATGTAGTGTAGGAATAATAATAGATCATGGAATGAAAAGGAATCCTGTGACATCACGATATACCAAATACAATCAAATCAACCAGTTTTGACTGAAGCCCCTTCAAGAGGTCACAGAGTAGGACTCGTCATGAACTCAGATATTTCCAGACCACAAGGCAGGTCACAGAATATACATGTGGGTGGAGGCGTATTGTGGAATCCTGCAGCCAGGAAAGGTATGGCACCTACCCACTCTCAAGTAGGTGAACCGTTGTTCTCTCTGGATGATGGAATTACAAATTATAGTTCACTGTTTCCCTGGGACACTTTTCACAAAGTACATGTAATCGGGGGGAAAAAAGTTATTCTAAAACTTTAAAAATTACGCTTTATCATTTTCCCCTTAAATGGAATGATGTATTTCATCTCATTATTTTTTAATTTTATACACATTCTCTCAAGGATGGGAATGAAATATTTCATAATTTTGAAATAAACCCTTAACAATCGTGCTCACACTTATTGGGAATCCACATTTTTCTTCCCATCTGGATTCCACCCCACTTCTTCCTCCCTATTTTTCCAATTTTTAAGAGTAACAGTAGCAACAGGCATACTTTGGAGGCATTTCGCATTATTTTCTGGCTCAGAGAATATAAAAATTACCAGATTACCATGCCCTATTAGCTATCAATACTTTCCATTAATTTTTCCAAAAACCTGGTTAAGCACATCCCTTCCTTCCTCATATTCTACCTATGCTACTCCCTACTTGGTACTTTCCTATTTCTAATGTGTTTTCATGGGCTGTTGTATATTTGCTTATTTCCCTATCAAGAGTTCTGGTGCAGAACTTTAATAAGAATATGTTTTCTTCTCAGATACCTCTCAGGGCATCAATTACAGTGCTGTGAAAATATAATGCTGGAGGATGCCGGGAAAATGATTATCAGAGAGAAATGGGCGGACACATGGGTTGGTGAAAGCAATGGGATAGAAGAATGGATAAAAGAAAGGTGAATGGAGAGATGGAGAGGTAACAGGTCAACAGGAAGGGAAAGGGGAAGGAGAGAAATAAAAAAGAGACAGATCTACCAAGGTTTTCGTTTTATCCTGCCTCCTGCCGGCTGTGCTTTATACCAGACCTTTTCACACCTGAAAGTGCACAAGAATTACCATCTGGTTAAAATGCAATCAGTCAGTCTTGTGACCCATGGTTCTGCTTTTCTAACAAGCTCCCACGTGATGGCCAATGCTGGATGAATTTTGTTCTACTCTCTAGAACAGTCCATGGGGTGATCCCACAGCTCTGCTTGGTAACGGGTATTTCATATTCAACTTAGGTGTAATATGATGCCCTCAGACAAGATAAAGAACAGCTGCGTATATGATTTGCTATCCAGTCCCAAGGGAAAACCCCCTCTTGCCTGACTCCATTCCACCTCCATCCACTGTGGGGTGGAACTCAAGTCAAAGAACCAAACGTTAGGAGAGGAGCAGCCAGGGAAGCTCCGTGGACACTTACCTCGATGGATGACCGACAGCTTACTGTGTAAGTGTTCTAACGCTTTTACAATCTGCAAGAGAAACACAGGACAGATTTACGTCCCCCATCCCTGGCAAGAAATTGGATGATAAGTATATCCAGGTTTATTATCCCTGACTTAAGGTAACAGGTGAAGGATTTTCTCAAATAGTGGTGGTCCTTTCCCAAAAAATATACAGGAAGTTACACAAATTGGACCCCACCCACCAGAGAGGACTCCATCTTATAGCAGAGACTATGTCTCATTCATATATCTTGGTTTTCATTTGGCCTCCGGGATTTTTTTTTCTCTCCACCCTCCTGAACCTCAATAGCTTTAAAGGGGAAACACTTCATTCCATTTAATTTTTTCTGCTTCCTTCTATGCCTAGGAGTCTTAAGAAAACATGTAATAATCTACAAATGAAAATTAAAGGAATATCAGGATACAGACATTAGGATTGTAGTCATAGCCAAAGAATGCACTGCTGGGAGGCACTTGAACTGGCAGGTAACCACACTGAGCCAGGGACAGAATCTGCACTGCTCAGAGAGAGGAGCATTCATCTCCCCATCCTCAGGAGCACTCCAGCATTCAATGTATGCTGTGTGGTTCTATGGTGGTGTGTCCTCATATTGGGGATACAAAGACACAGGAGGCCTACACGTCCCACATTCTCCTTGTGGGGTCCATGAGGTACTCACAGAAACTGCTATTTTCCCTAAGATGTCCTCTGGAATTGTTTGGCCTTTATCGATCACTTGTTTGTAGAATTTATCTAGCGATGTATCCATGAGCTCCATGCAGATCCAGACATCACCCTGGAGACCAATGAGTTCAGAGATTTTTAGAGGGGATGGGAAAGGGGAAACGAGAAAACAGTGAGCACCTGTCAGGAAGAACTACTTCCTGTTTGAGTTTTTGGAGGAAATGCACAGTGTCTCTTTAAGATCTCAAAGGAATCCATAAAACAAGAAAGATTATCTCCAAAGAGCAAACTAGCAGACAGCCCAGCAGAACTGGCATGGGATCACCTGCTCCTTAATGAACACTAGCATCAAAATACTAATAGAGACAAGCGATAGAATCCCTGAAATCCCAGCCTTTACTGTGACTGCCCCCAGGAGTTAAGTCTGGAAGCCTGCTCCATGTCTAACTTCCTGCATGGAGCACTGGCCACAGTAAATCAAACGCTGGTTTTAACACTGAGGTGAAACATCGTAATCCATAGCATAGTACAGTGAAAAGCAGAGGTAGAGCAAAGAGAGAAACATAAGCCTATATGGTACAAAAGCAGGCTACATAAAGCGCAGCGAGTTGCCAAAAGTTCGGGATATTTCAGACTTAAAAAAAAAAAAAAATTGAGATTTTTTAAAAAATTGTATTGATCTGAGAGTGGATGGGGGGAGAGAGAAAAAAAGAAAGAGAGAGAAACACTGATTTGTTGTCCCATTTATTGATGCATTCATTGGTTCATTCTCGTATGTGCCCTGACCAGGGACTGAAGCCACAACCTTGGGCTAACTGGACAATGCCCTAACCAACTGAGCTACCTGGCCAGAGCAAAGTATTTCATATGTTAAGGACACTATCCAAATCAGTCTATAGACAATTGACATAGACAGTTCTGCCAAAAGAGACAAAGCAAAACAGAAAGGAGAAAGAGCGGCAGCGTCTTGAACAGGGCTCCAAGCATCTGAAAATACCATCATTTCCAGGCAACTTTGCACCAGGGCACCATGCTATCAATGCAAAGCCAAAGGCTCCTCTAGGAGGCCTGTGCAACAAGAAAGAGCACCAAGACCGTGCACAGCAAGCATGTGATCGGAGACACTTCTTTTTAAGTGACTGTTCTCAACTCTGAATTGAAGGATCGCCTACCTCCCGGAAGAGTGCGCCATAAAAGGTGACCGTAAAAGGGCAGTCCACGGTCCTCATGGAAACATCCAAGTCCATCAGTAGCCTTTTCTGCTCCTGGCTGTTTACTGTGGCCCGGATCCGCTGAATGGGAATACACAGGAAAGTGTATGGTTACTGCTCCGAGGGTGAAGCAGTTCATAACGCAGGGACCTTAAAATTAGAGTCCCATCCAGAAAATAGTACAAAATCCACAGTACAACTTATAGCAACAAACTTTTGAACAGCCAACCTAAGTGATTGGCTATTTGTAACAAAAGAAACATAAGGAAGGCTGTTATTCATTTGATTTTCCGAATCATCCCTGGTTGAAAAACAAAACTGATAACGTATTTTGGAAAATGTGCAAATGTTTAGAAGTGTATTTCCAAGTTGCAAAAACAGTCTGGTTTGTTGTATTATATCTGTTCAGTGCAAAGAGGCCACAGTATGAGTAACTCTGTGGCCCATGTCAAGTCTCACAATATAAGCCAAAAGCCCCTCTTTGGAAACGATTAAGAATATTTGGGCTAAACAGCAACTATAAGAGAACTGACGTGGGAAATAGGAGGAATGAAACAGAAATGGAGAAATCCTGCGTTCCTATCCCGGTGCTTCCGAGAGAAGAGAAAGCCCTCACATCAGCAGCCTTACAGAAATACAATTATTTCATTAAATCACGGAGACAATATATCACGAGGCTTTCACATATTTTTTGCCTACTTAGCAAAGAGTCTGCAGGAGCACAGACTGAAATCTACAAGCTAAGGTAAAGATATCTCTCCATTCTCCAAAAACACAGGGATCCGAGTCATCTGACCACCCACATTCCTAAGGATGGCCCAAATCTATTAACTCATCTGGAGATGGCGATTCTCCAGGTTCCTCCCAGCATCTACTCGAGAAATATGCACTGGTTATACATTTCTTTTTATAGTGCAGAAACTGTGCAAATTCACTCAAGATGTATTTTACCCTCTTTTTTTTCTTTCTTCAAACAAAGACAATTTTCCCCCTCAATTCTGCTTTCCTGATTTTCAGGGACAATTCTTTAAAAGAAATAGAATATAGAATAAAAAAGACTTTTGAGACATAACAACCAAATGCAAAATGTGAACATTTGTTTGGATTCTATTTTGAGGAACCAATATGGCAGGAATGGGGAGGGAGACAAAAAAAACTTTGAGACAATCAAGGTAATTTTAATTTGGCCCTGGTATCAGGTGACGTTAAGGACATATTTTCCACACATTTGGAGGGCAACCTGCTCCCTGCAAATAATCTTTTCTGTTTTATCCCTTTAAAGATTGTTTTGCTTCTAGGAAGAGGGCTGATTTGCAAAGGGGGATGGACAAAGGTAAACACCACAGACAGAAAAGGTTTGGGGAACGTCAACTCTACCTTCACCGCCATGATCTGCCCGCTGGGCACATGCCGCATCTTCTCCACCACCCCGTACGCACCTCGTCCCAGTTCCACTATAGGCTCCAGGTCATCTGCCTTCACCTCAAAGTTCTGCGAGAGAGGAAAACCATGCAACAGGAAAGACAAAGATGAGCTCGACATAGACTATACTGTCCTCTCTCTGGTGCCTCCCAGCGTTCTAAGGGTTATTTCTGGTCCAGAAGCTACTGATCTAGAAGCTTTTTCAAGCAGCCACTGAAAGCAAGAAGCATTGGGAGATGTTCAGACTCCCAAAACATGCCACCTGCCTGTCACAGGCGATACAGAGATCCAACTCCAACTCAGCCTCCAGACTGCTCAGTTTAAGCTGTCTACACTGGGGCTCGTCAGCTGTTCCTCCTTAAATACATGTGCAACCCATGTGCCTACTGATGATGGCAACTAGATGTGCTTGCACTTTGAGAAACAACCCCCCCCAAAAGAGAACCATCTATTCTTCTCAAATGCCTTCTATCAGGACCGCAACAGTCTGATTTCGATTCGACATTCAAAAATATCAAGAGTTCCACACGCTACGTCTGTTTAAATTCAAACAGACAGCATACTACAGAAAATAACTTTTTCAATGAGACAAGACTTTCCTCACCTGATTTCCAATAGAAATGCAAGCTTTAGAGTCTAAATCTCGAGGAGGCCTGAGGAAATAAAGGGAGAGAAAGGAAAAAAAAGTGAGATTTTAATCAAAAATGTCCTTCCCAAATCATATGTGATTGAAGAGATTTTTCTTTAGAAATAAGGAGGAAGTTTATGAATAAAATAAAGCAGCATACAAGTGTTAACAGTGTAGGATTTGGAATAAAATACATTTTAGTTTAGATTACTTAATCCCTTTGAGCTTCCGTTTCTTCTATAACATGAGAATGTTAGTATAACTACCTCACAGAGTAGGAGTATTAAATAAAATATTCCAAGTAAAGTATTTAACAAAATGTCTCACATACAGTAAATATCCGATAAATATGAGCCACATGTATATAGTCATATAGATAATTATATTATTCCAATAAGCCTCAAACTCTTTTTCATCCAAGAACACCAAGTATCCAATGAACTCCCCACTTTTCCCACAACTGGTTTTTATTTGTTTGGGTTTTTTTTGTTTTTTTAAATATATCTTTATTGATTTCAGAGAGGAAAGGCGAGGGAGAGAGAGACATAGAAACATCGATGATGAGAGAGTCATTGATCGAGCCCGCAACCCTGGCATGTGCCCTGACCGGGAATCGAACCCTGATCGCCTGGATCCTAGGTCGATGCTTAACCACTGAGCCACGCCCAGCCGGGCTCCCACAACTGTTAAAAAAAAAAAAAACCAATAATTGGCAAATGGTTATCTTAACTCACAAAATTCACAGACCATAAGAATTCGAGCCTGGCTGGTGTTGCTCAGTGGTTGAGCATGGCCCCATGAATCAGGAGGTCAGGGTTCAATTCCTTGTCAAGGCACATGTCAGTGTTTCGGGCTCGATCCCCAGTAGTAGGTATGCAGGAGGCAGCCGACCAATGACTCTCATCATTGATGTTTCTATTTCTCTCTCCCTTTCCCTTCCTCTCTGAAATCAATATATATATATTTTTTAATTTTGAAATATATATATTTTGAAAAAATATATATCTATTTTTTTAAATTTGAAATCTATCTAGTCCCTGCCTTTGGATGGAAAAAAAAAAGGCTAGAGAGGTGAAATGACTTGCGCAAGGTCACAAGTAATGCAGGTCCCCTGATTTTCAGGTGAGAATCCTCTCTATTCTGTCAGGCTATCTAATTCAGACGCAATATTTCTTCTCAACATAGTGTACATACTATCCAAGGTTCATCCCAGCAGCCAGAGGTCTGCTGAGTTTGTGTCTCCATAAGAGAGTGCACAGTCGCCTCCTGTGTATTTATTTCTACTATTTCAAAGCTGCCTGGATTGATATCAAGCCACTTAGGAGATGGACGTTTGGCTTTGGCTGTGCCCCTAACGAGGAGCCCAGAAAAGCTTTTTTCCTAAAATAAATGCACCGAAAGCATCACGACACCAGGAGTGTGAGCCAGGAAACAGACTGTTAATATGGCCAAATAATAAAGCTGCGGAGGGGTGGTGCGTGCCAGACCGTCTCTAGAAAAACACAAGGGGAAGTGGGAGGGAGGGAAGATGAGGGAGGAGAGAAGAGAACCCTTTGCCAAGGACAACTTTTCCCAGCCCTGATGTAGTATAACTCCACCCCTTCTGCTGAAACTAAATGAAGAAAGAAACCAATAAGGGAAACGTAGAAATATAAACACAGATGTAAACACGTGTCCGGGCTTTCACAGCAAGCCTTCTCTTGCCTCTTTGAAATCCCTTTGAAATGCACCGAATACCTAAAATAAACTTTCCTATACAAACTGAAAACCAGGGCCTGGGAGGGAGGGAGAGAGTGGAAAGCACACACGCACACGCGCGAGCAGTGATGTTTTTCTATATCTTGTGTTTCGGAGCAGGGAGTGTTTCTTCAGAAACACTTCTCCAGAAGGATTAAGTTAGTAAAAATCTGATTTCGCATTCTCCAAATTCCCAAAGCTCTTTTCCTCTAGTCCTCACTATTTGTTCGTACTAACTGCAGTGGAACTTTGAAATAAAGACAGATATTGCTTGAAACATGTGACTAATATAAACAATAAAAAACCCTTTGCGATGGTTCAGCATTCATTTTTACAAGTTATAGGGTTATAAAAATACAAACAACAAAGAATATCCGACAGAGGCCACTGTCGCCCAGGTAGCCTAAAATATTTGCTATCTGGCCTTTTGCAAGAAGAGTTTGCTGACTGCAGCTTTATACTAACTTCACACCATACCTCTACCAAATAGGAGGGTTCTGTGCCATTTTCCAGGCTGAGAAAAATGAAACAGAAAAACTGCTGAAGCCACAGTCCTCAACAGAGCTGAAAATAAAACTCACATCACCTGACTCTCAGTGACCTAAGGAGGAAAGGATATATGCTGAAAACTGGGTTAGGTGCTTTACCTGCAGCTCATGAATTATTTAACACACACACACACACACACACACACCTCTTCCTATGGGTACCATTACTCCCATGTTCCAAATGACTTTAGCTAACCTGCTCCTAAGTGGTGGACCCGTAATTACAATCCAAGTCTGACTGAATCCAAGGAACCTGCTCTCACCACTCAGGCTTCCTCTAATGAAAATGATCAATCCACCCACACCTGCCTCAGGCCGTGGGGCTCATCAGGTCCGCCAAAAGCATCAAGCGATGGGGCCAAGACTGACAGGTCGTATTGGGTTAGCTGACACTGTGTCCTGTCCAAGGCTGGGCACGTAAGTTTGCCTGGGGCACGGAGTTTCTGGGTAGGAGGTTTATACTGTGGGTGGATATTTTCTATCACTTTTTCAATATTTTCATCCACTGAGGAAAGAACCAAGCTTATTAACAAAGTCCTTCCCTGAAAGGTATTCCAAAGGGCACCTAGAGTTAGTGGGTTTTTTTTGTTTTTTTTTTAAACATGTCTTTACTGATTTTGGAGAGAGGAATGGAGGGAAAGAGAAAAACATGATTGGAGTCATTGATTGGCTGCCTCCTGCACATCCCCTACTGAGGGTCGAGCCTGCAACCTGGGCATGTGCCTTGATCTGGAATCTCCTGGATCCTAGGTTGATGCTCAACTGCTGAGCCACGCCAGCCAGGCATAGAGTTAGTGTTTTATATGAACAACAAGCTTTGGTGTATTCTAATTTGAGTAATCAGTTCACTGGTTATTGTTATAACTATTCTTCTGCTCAACAATATTGATGAAGCATCTACCTGGGCCAAAGACTGGGCTAGACCTTTACATAAAATATCTTCTTTAATTTTCACAACTCTTAGAAGTATTATTATTTCTCTTGTAATGCGAAGAATTGACATAGAAACAGATGAAATAATTTAAGGTCATTCAAAGAGATGGTGATATTAGAACCCAGAGCTATGCCATATGACCTTCTCAACTGCAGAAGTAAAAGATCCTGCTCTCATGTCATAGCCAGGGACTGTTTGGCCACAGTCTCTACCAGTCTAATATGTGGCTAAAAGGACATACCTGAGAGTCAGAGGGCCCTGAATCTATATGCCAGCTCTCCCACTTAAAAATAGTGAAGCGATAGTAATAACAGTACCACGCTGAGCTACCTTCACTAAGAAGTTACCATGGAACAGGCGCTAGGTCACTTAGTATGGACTACGACACCTAATCTTCATAGCGACTGCATCGTCATTTATTCCTGTTTTTCAGGAGGGGAAACTAAGTCTCAGAAAGGTTAGGTAACTCATCTAAGGTATTCAGCTAGTGAAGTTCAGATCCCAAATACAAACCTTGGCACTCTAGCGCCAAAGCCTGAAGTCTTGCCCACAAGGCTATGCTCGGCTGCTTTTGAGCAAGGCACCGGACCCATTTACAGGTCTGTTTTACAACTTATAAAGTGAGAGCAATAGCAACTGCCTCCTGAGTTTCTTGTGAGGGCTTAAATGAAAGAACGCTGACTGGCACAGAATCGATTTAGAATGAGTTGCTGCCAGTCAAGTGAGGGGACAGCTCAGAAACCTGAGTCAAAGACACACTGGCATCAGTTACTCAAAGAAAGGCTCCAGCAGAGGGACCACACACGTGGAACTAGAGAGAATGGAGCTCTGTCCCAGGCTATTTATTTTTGTGCAGTACAGCAGAAGGAGGCAGCATATAACTGCTAAGAGTCACCAAGCCAACCTCGAAAAACTGCCAAGAAAAATGCAAAATGTGGAAGCTACTTCTTTAGGAGTAAACATTTAAGCCTCAGTATTAAAATAACAATTATAATAATAAGGCTTTCCATGGGCTAAAGTGGCATAGTCCACAATAATGCTCTTGGCCCTACACAGGGAAATAGGAAAGTATATTCAAAGTTTACTCTACCCCACGAGGGAAAGACAACATAGAAACTATGTTTATCCTCGCATAGGTTTTTTATTCATTCATTTATAGGAAGGAAGGATTTACGGTGGTTTTCAAAAGTTTGTAAAATACAGAAAATGAATATAAATTAGAAGGTGAAATAAAAATTTTAAAGGAAGGTAATGTAAGACAGTTGGGAGGTGGATAGAATATATCCCAAAGGGAAAAAAATAAGATAAGAGCAGAAATCAATAAAAATGAAAACAGAAAAATAAAGTTGGTTCTTTAAAAAAACAATAAAATTAATAAAGCTCTAGCAAGATTGACACAGAAAAGAGAGAAGAAACGAATTATTAATATCAAGGGGAAAACCAGGGGATATCACAACATATCTTGAGCCATTAAAGGATATTCAGGAAATACTGTAAGTAGCTTTATTCTCATAAATTCAACAACTTACAAGAAATGGACCAATTCCTTGAAACCACAAACTAACAAAACTTATCCACGATGAAAAAGATCAGCTGACTAGTCCTATAACTACTAAAGAAGTTGAATTTGTAGTTAAAAAGCTCCAGAATAAAAAACACACAAGTCCATTTTGTTTCACTGGAGAATTTTAGAAAACATTAAAGAAAAAAATGGAATGTATATATAGAAATATTATGTTGTATACCTAAAACTAAGATAATGTTATGTGTCAATTTTATCTCCAAAATATTTTTAAAGGAATTAACACCTATTTTACACAGTGTCTTCCAGGAAAAAGAAGGAACTCTCACCAACTCATTTTATGAGGCCAGTATTAATTACCTTAATATCAACACACACACACACAACACCCCACTACAGACCAATACCTCTCATGAGCTTAGAAAAAAATCAACAAAATTTTAGCAGATCAAATCCAACAATATATAAAAAGTAACATACCACAACCGAGTGGGAATTATTTGGGGTATGCAAGGCTAGTTCAACATTTTAAACATCAATCAATTTAATCCATATGCCAGGACAAAGAAGAAGCTATGACAGTATCAACTGATGCACACACACAAAAAATTCAACACACATTCATGATAAAATCTCTCAGTACTTCAACCTCATAAATAGCATCTACAAAAACTTAATATCATGCTTAATGGTAAATGTTATTCCTCTAAGATAAGGAACAAAGCAAGGCTGCCTGCTTTCACTAATCTCATTCAACACAGCTCAGGACATCCTTGCCACTGAAATCAGGTAAGAAAATAAAGGTTTAGAATATACAGTTTGAAAAGGAAGAAATAAAATGATCTCTTTTTGTAGAAGGCATGGCTATCTGCACATAAAACTCCAAGAAATCTATAAAAAGCTTCGAACTATAAAGTGAATTTAGAAAGGTCACAGGACAAGATCAGCACAACCATCAGTTGCATTTCTATATACTGACAATGAACAAGTGGAAACCTAAATCAAAAACAGAATACCATTTATAATTGCTCCCCTCCCCCAAAATAAAATACTCAGGATAAAACCTAATGAAGAGAATCTTTATCATGAAAACTATAAAATACTAATGAAGAAGATCAAAGATAATCTAAATACTTGGAGAAATCTACCATGTTCATGGATTGGGAGGCTCAATGTAGGAAAAGATGTCAATTCTCCTTAAATGGATCTATAGGTTAAATGCAATTCCAATCAAAATCTTAGCAAGTATATTTGAAGAGATAGACAAGCTTATTCTAAAACTTATATGAAAAGAAAAAAGCCCTAAATAGTCAAAAATGATTTTGAAAAAGATAAACCTAATGGAAGGAATCACTTTCCCCAATGTTAAGGCATGCTACATAGCTGCAGTCATCAAGACTGTGATATTCGAAGAGGGATAGACACACAGATCAATGGAACAGAACAGAGAACCCAGAATTAGATCCCTACAGTATCCTCAATTAATATTTGACAAAAGTGCAAAAGCAAGTAAATGGAGGAGGGAGAGCCTTTTCAACAAATAGTGCCAGAGCAACTGAAAATCCGTTGGCCAAAAAATAAAGCTCAACCTACACCTCAGGGAGAGGGTGTCCTGCTTCACCGGGACTTGAGCTCACTTGGGGATTTGGGCCAAAGCTTCAGCTAATAAAAAAGTGTTCCTTTACCTCATTTTGCCTTCTGTTTATGTGGGATAGGATCTGGGTGTCAGGATGCTGAGTTCTCATCAAGTACCATTTTCCATCTCAACCCAAGCTTTACAACAGTGGCTCTCATAAGGATTCACTTGTTTGCTCAAATCTATATGGAAAAGGCAAAAAGTCCACACCCAGAGACTTACATAGGACTCTATCTGCCACATGCATCTTTGACATTCAATTTTCAGCCAATGTGAGGGAGACACTGAGTTCAAAGCTACCAATGCAAAATAGATCAACTGACCTAGTGTGGTTATTTCAGTCTCAGAACACTGAGCACAGAGCTTCCCCTTTAGAGGGTGCTTCCTTCTAACAACTATCCCCACAGTCGAGGTACTGCTCACCGGTCCCAAAAACGAACCCCCATTGCCCAGAAATCTGTAAAGTGCAAGTGTTTGGGTGAAAAGGATGATCTTGCCAACTTACGTGGAACTGGTCTGAGGTTGCTCAAATGCTTCTTTTGGGATTTTAAGGCCAGGGTTTCGCTTCTTGCCTATGGGGAAAGATGAAAGGATAAAGTTAAGGTCTCTATCACAGCACTAGCACAGGGGTGGAGATGGCAGCAGAACGAAAGGGCTGGCCTGGGAACATAGATCTCATTTCTCCATTCAGAGCTCTACTCCCTGCCCAGGAAGTCTGTGAGTGATAAGCACCCATGCACCAGGCTGAGCAGAGCTTCCCAAATGCAGACTGGGGTCGTGGGTGAGGCTTTCACCAGTCACAGGCGAAAAAGTCAGCACAAGAATGCAACTCTATCTACCTAGAAGACCTGGCCTGTCTCACGGGTGGGACCTTGTCATTACAACTTCTCTCTTGTGCTCAACGATGGTAATGGTAGACAGTGTTGGTTATATTTTTTTTTAAGATGTTTTTATCTTAGAGAGAGGAAGGGAGAGGGAGAGAGAGAAACATCAATGATAAGAGTCATTGATCGGCTGCCTCCTGTACGCCCCCACCAGGGATCAAGCCCACAACCCGGGCATGTGCCCTGTCTGGGAATCGAACCATGACCTCCTGGTTCAAAGGTCAACGTTCAACCACTGAGCCATGCCAGTCAGGCAGTACTTTTTTTTCTTTTTAATGTCAGTCAAATGTAGTCGCCCTTATCCCAGTAACCCACAATTTTCTACATTGATCTGTGAACAACAGACAGAGTTAACCATGGAGGTAAAATAAAAAAATACTTTCCCACCATCTGCCCTGCCCATTCTCAACCACCTGCCAGGAGCTGAAACATCTGAGAGAGAAATAGAATAATATTTATTTACATTTGCCCTGTTCCAAAAAGGATTAAGATAACAGATGTGTTCATGCAAGGAGGTTATCACGCTTCTCTGGGAGCCAGATGGGCACGTAACTGACGTGTTCATCCTTGGGCTGAAACCACAAGACAGCTTGGCTCAAATACTTTTGTTGATGAGTAAAAAAGAACGAACTGAGAAATGCCAGCTCAGGAAGCAGATCAGAGAAAATCATCGGGTAAGGGCCCAGGATTTTCCTCATCTAAGGAGATCCTGTGTGTTTGTTTGTGCCAAAGCAGAGCTAGATAGAATACCCAGGATTCCACTTTTTCCCCCACCTCCCCTGGATGCTGCAGGTGAGCATGCAGAGCTGACTCAGGCCCTGGACAAGGTCCTGGGGAGAGGTTCTGAAGCTGCAAAGGAACTTAAGAAATCAAACATTATAACCTGCTGGTCCCCAGGTCTCCAGACCCCCAGTTCAAGCTCTTTCCACCATTTCACAATGAAAAAAGTTTATAGAGATGACCAGAGAGAGAAGAGTGGAGGGAGTATGGGATTTTGAGTTTAAAAAAAAAAGGAAAGTTGGGTTCTTCCTTCCACTCACCCAGTGACCTCAGGGTCACTTTTCGTCTAACTCTCCATATCCTCAATTGTAAAATAAGGAAGTAACATGATGCCTACCTCATGAGACTGATAATGAGAATCAAATGAGATGACAGATGAAAGGGCACTGAGAAACCTTAAGCAACTGTTAATTATAATTATCCAGAGAAAGAATCTGTAGTCACATTAACGAGTAAGTCATTTAAGTAATTTATGAACAAAATTGGCCATATTACCAAAGCCCAATATAATGTGTAGTTGAGTCTTTTTATTCTTCTTGTGCATTCAAAATCCAAAATCTAGTTCAATTCTGCCAAGTTATATAAAGCCAGGGGAAAAAAGCCTTTTAGGACCACCTTCATTATAATAGGTGTCCTCAATTCCCCCCTCATCTGAGTTTATCTACATATTTTATTGGATTCAAAACTATTTACTTTCCTACTCCTGAAGTTCAAGTGGCCATTTAAAACATTACTAAATTAGCCGGTCGTTGACAATATACTAAGCTGTATTGTGTACCAAGAACAATACTAAGTGTGGGATCTGACTGCAAGAATCCAAATACTAGATATATGGCCTAATTCTCACCTATGGGCCTCAGTCGAATAGATGGGAGATGCTCTTTAAAATGAGATGTCCTAGTACACAATGAATAACAAATTCAGGTGGCCCACATTGCCAGGTACATATGCCAATACAGGTGACAGGAAATTCAGGCAATCCCAACAGATACAACCCTACAGTTTCCTTGAAATTCTGAAGATGAAGCTAAACTAAACAAAAGCAAAAACCATTTTACCTGTGATAAAGACTCTCCAGGTGCCATTTCAGCAAACCCAAAGCAGAAGGTACTCCAATTCCTGCATCCCTCTCTCCTTCGTTTCTAACTCAGCTCTTACAAGATTACAAGAACAAAAGAAATAGCTATTTACAGAGAAAATCTCTTCTGCCAAACTTTAACAGAGCAATGAATTATTACACCATAGCAATAAATTATTAGCCATTCATTAATAGCAATCGATTGTTACACTACCATTCAACAAACCACCCGCACATCTGTACAAAGAAACAGTAAATGAGCAAAAGAGAGAGACACCTTGTGGCATAGAGACTAACAGAATAAATGACCAAACAGCAATAAAGTCTTCGAGGTGTAAGAAGAGGAGGCCCCTAATTCCCCTCTGACAGCAAGGAGAAAAGTAGTTCCAGGAGACACAAACCCTAGTTGGATTACAAGATTAAAAAACACCGTGCCATCATTTTTAAAAGTGGATCAAGTGACACAAAAATCACACATACACACACACACACCAACATTCCATAACTCACGTGCCCACCACTGCAAACGCAGCTTGTGAGAAGCCAGCAAGAGTGACTCTGATGAAGTTTTCTGGGCTGCAGGGAGGGCTAGCGGCAGGAGACCCCACCGAAGGCACGAAGACACGCTTTACTTAGCTCCAGGGACCACAGCTCAGCAGAGGGAAACAGCACTGAGCAGGCGAGGCTCCACCCCCTCCTCCAGTGAGGATCGCAGCGGACCTCCCGGAGTTTATTGTTCCGGGGAAACTGCAACTTCAGGAAGAGGGCAGGGAAGTGGGCCCATTTGGACAGCAAAGGTGTGACATTAACCATTAACCAGACTGAGAGGAAAAAATCTATAGAGTAATTCTGCACAGGAGAGCATTCTACGGCCTTTCTATAAACGCCTCTTTCATTTCTTAAAAGGAAGAAAAACAATATGTGGTCAGTTTCCAGCTGTGTTGATTTCAAAGCAATCTGTTCCCCCTGGCGAGGCTGCCAACCCTGACGCTAACATTTAATGCTGTGCTATAAAAAATTAATGAGGGAGCCATACGAATAATAAAGCTAAGTGGCCGATGATGTTAAACGGCCTTTTCCCTTAATATTCTAAAGCAAAAAGGAAAAAAATATACCGGAACGTAGGCTCTATATTATGTCAGATGCTTGCAACAAGCCTTCTCAGAGAAGGTTCTGTGAATTTCTGGAGGTCTCAACAAGCTTTGCCCTTTATTGGTGCAATCTGCAAAGGGTAAGCCTCCTCAGCCTGACCAAGCATATGCAGGACTGCATGACATCAGCCCGTGTCACACCCATGCCTGTTTTCTCTAAAAACATTGTAGCCCCTCCCGCCCCCCACCACACACCCATCTATTTGCAAAATTCATCTTAGACCAGAGCTGGGTCACTGTGATCTTGGCCTGGAACAAAATGGCACTGGAAAAAACACACCAAGCCTTGCCCATGGTTAGAAAACATTTACCAGGCCACAGAAATGTTCACTCGCTCGCTTGCTTTGCCCATACTGAAAATGATGGGGTACACAAGCCCTCTTGCTCAGCACCCACTCAGAGAGGCAGAGCACAAAGGGCTTCTCTCATGTGCCTTATTACATAAAACAGAAGATTGCGATCCGGTGCCAAACCAAACAGCAAGAGAATCCCACAGGGTCAACAGAAGGTGGCATCCTGAGGATATGCTGACACCCAAATATTTGTCATCTTGGCTGACTGTTCGGGGGGGCATAATTATGAGGGTTTATGATTATTGACACAGCTTTACAAAAGGATGGCATTGCTCCCAGTGCCAAATTTATTTTAAAAAATCTGTTTCCCAATGTGAGTGGGGTTGCTGGCCAAGTAACTGGCAACCTGGAGGCCTTGGCTGCCCTCTCCTTAATCCTTGCATCTAGGCTTAAGTTCCAAGGGTAGCTGGCACGAAAATCGGCAGAGAAGTGTCACTCTGTGTTATTAAATTGCAATGATCGGGTGCAAAGCAACGGATGAAGCAGGGCAGAGGGAAGGGGGTGCAGGGAGAACGCTGGCTCTACAACGGTGATAGGAAAGTGTGCACACACGCTCCCGTCCCCCAAAGGCTGGATCTCACCCACCTCTGAGGTTCCAACCAGTATGCCAGATGTCTTGGGGATTACATAAACCTTAGAGAAGGGAAGCTGCAAGGCTCGCTTTGAAATGGGCAGTCCTTTTGATTTCAAGGAAGCAGGTGAGTCTTGACTTTACCTTCGTGTTCCCTGTGCCTAAAAGGGCTGAGTCCTCTTGTGGATAGGAACTCTAACTTCCGAATTCACCTCACTCACTGCCTGCCCCACAGAACCTTCTCATACCTTCTGAAAGTCAGTTTCCACACAGGCCAGCTTTCACACTCTCGCATCTAGCACAGAATATGAACTCAGTGAAACTTTACTAGATCTCCAACATTTTAGTTTAAGATGTCCACTATGTCTAAAATACATTTCGCCCGGCCAGCATGGCTCAGCGGTTGAGCATTGACCTAGGATCCAGGAGATGGCGGTTCAATTCCGGGTCAGGGCACATGCCCGGGTTGCGGGCTTGATCCCTAACTAGGGGCGTGCAGGAGGCAGCCGATCAATGACTCTCTCATCATTGATATTTCAACTCTTTCCCTCCCTTCCTCTCTCTAAAATCAAAAAAGATATGTTTTTAAAAAATAAATAAAATAAAATACATCTCCATGACTGTCTTCCATTTATATTCCTCATACCTTTCCTCACAGTCTCAACTTACTTTCTTTTTGCATTTATTTATTACTCATTGGTTTATTATCTCACTTCCCCATGTAAATTCCATTGTGCCCAGAGACTGCAAAGTTG